GAAGAAGTGGGTTTTTTATGATTGAGGTTCGTGGAGAGAGAACAAGTAGAAATGGAAGGAAGTTAATTAAGTGGGCCCTAGTGCCCTACAGACAGAAATAGTGACGGAAACGGTTAAGTAGTAGTAAAAGGATGACTAGTAAGTTTAATTACGTAACTAATTACGAAAGTACATAATTTTGAAATTAAAATTTCCACAAAAAAAAAAAGAAAATTATCATGTTGTAGTAAAAAGTATTAAGCGCATGTATGTGTTAGGGTTAGAACCCCAATCTCATGTCCATTACTTATTACAACATACCAACAAGCCATTTTATATTTTGTTGTTAATGACGGGTAGGTAATATATCTATCAACTACTAATTGTTTATTAAGTTAGGTATAGTATTGTATAATGTACATTTAGTTTGTAGTTAAACTATATATCATGGCTTAGTAAATTTAGTTAGTATTGTAGGATGATGATAAGTAATAGTAGGAATATGATTAATTATATTAGGAAATATATAGAGGTGATCATTGGGCGAGCCGGGCCGAAGCAAACAAATTTGCCCATTTATCTGGCCGGGTCGGGCCAAGCTTCGGGCCAAAATTTTTGTGCCCAAACCTGCCCAAAATGGTCGGACCGCGCGGGCTTTTCGGGCCATTTTCGGATCGGGCAAAAAAAAATCAACTAAATATGCATAAAAACACATTCCCAAACCCGCCCAAAAAAATAAATTTTTCGGGCCGGGTCCTACTCGATTTCGGACCGTAAAAACCCGCCCATAATCGGACTGGATCAGGCGGGGCTAACTTTGATCACCTCTAGAAATAGTTGAATAAGGGATATCGGTAAATTTCCAATTTCCCTTTTAGAGGCGTTTTTTTTGGCATTTTAGGGCTTTTTTGAGGCCAAGTCTCATTCGAAAACTTGCCACAACTTAGGTCTCCAAAAAACAAGCCGTTTTAAAAAAAAATTGCCCCAATCGAACGCCCGGAGGCTGAATTATGGGCCCCCGAAGTTCGGATGCAATATCTCTCTATCCCGGAATTGGGCGGCCGATCCGGTTAGATTTCTGATTTGTGCCATTCAAAATAAGGTGTTTGAAAAAAAAATTGCCCCGATCGGACCCCCGAGGCCATACTTATGACCTCTCGAGTTTCCTAACCCTCAAAATTCTCCTAAATCGTCTCAAACCCGACAGAATTGGACGACGTGGACCGCGTATTCTCGTAGATCTCGATTTTCCGTGTGAAAACGAGTACTCACACTAATTGAGGGCATTCGTATTTTTTATTCTATGATCATTTACAACTTTTCGTTTTCCTATAAAGTTGCATACCGCACGCTTATGGGTCAGTGTTTTACATACTTATAATTTTTTTTCCCAAATTTCATTTAGTACATAAAACGCTGCCTGGGACAGCGTTTTATGTACTATTTTTTTTTTTTTTTGGAAATTTGGAAATTTTAATTTCTAAAAGGAATTCTGAAATTATGTATTATTTATAAGAAAAAAAACCAATATATAAAACGCTGTCCGAGACATCGTTTTACCCCAAAAGCTTAGTTTGGTAAATACTTTTGCCACACGTCTACTTTCGTAATTAGTTTCGTAATTAAACTTACTTTGGAGCATCTTCCGTAGTAAAATTTAAATTTTTTGATTTTGGGTGGTAGTAAAATCAAATAAAAATTTAGATGGGTAGTAAAATTCAAAATTGTGCATTTTAGTGGTAGCAAAAGTCAAAATATCCCGAGTAAAAGTTGGTGTTCAAATTATAGACTATCCAAAACACCCTCATTCACTTAATTTTATTTTAGAAAAACTTAAAAACAATTCAGCTCAGGCAATAAAAAAAGGAAAAATTCATGGGATAATCCCACATTTGGGCTGTTCGTTTTTAATAATCCCACCTTTGGATTATTTTTAAATAATCCCACCTTTACCCCCCATTCTTTTTTAATGGTCACGGGTGACTAGTAACCGGTTGAAGAGGTAATTTTTTTTTTTGGTTTAAAATACACGTGTCACTATAACAATTAGTCTAAAATTTTATATTAAAAAACAAAAATAAAAAAAAAAAAACAAAAAAACGGCAGTAAGCCAGCCACCTCCTCCACAAGTCCCAGCCACCGCGTTGTTGTCGTCCACTAGCCCCAGCCACCTTCTTCCCCAGCCCCAACCATGAGATCGAAGCTCACGTCGTCATCGTCGCTATTTTGGGTGGTCCGGCCAGCCTAAATTGAGGCAGGGGAAAGTGAGGGAGGCTGAAATCGTGGCGGGGGAATGTGTGGGTGGCAAAACTCGAGCAGGGGAAAGGGGAGGGAGGCTAGAATAGGTTCGGGGGAAGGGGAGAGTTGCCGGAATTGGAACGGGGGAAGGGGGACCCGGAATCGGGACGGAAAAGGCGTTTAGGGTTAGGGTTGGGTTTCTAGTTCACCACTAGTCCACCACCTTAGCCACCTTCACCCATACCCCAACCCGAGACCACCTACCAAACTACTATTGCCTTTACCAATTGAACCGAAACCACCACCTCATCACCCTACCTGAACTGCGACCTCAGCCACCTTCACCCATACCCCCACCTTAGTTGAAATCTCCTCAGATCAGGGAGGGGATCGTCGCGCACCGACGCCGGTGTCGGTGCTGTGGTTGGGGGCTGGGTGGTTATTTTATTTTTATTTTTATTTTTTTATTTTTTTCTTTTAAAAAATCTAACTTTTTAATTTTTTTTTCCCATTCACAGGCCGTCACGTGTCATGTAACCTGTTATAACAGGTTACATGACCGGTTGGGACCATTAAAAAAGAATGGGGGGGTAAAGGTGGGATTATTTAAAAATAATCCAAAGGTGGGATTATTAAAAACGAACGGCCCAAAGGTGGGATTATTCCCATGAATTTTTCCTAAAAAAAATCTGTACGTGATTTATATACATGACAAAAATAGAGAAATTTAACTATATTGATTATTGATTGATTGGTTGACTTAAAAAAAATTTATGCAATGAAAAAAATGCAATATTGTCTAGTCTTGAAAATTAGGAAAGACAATAGAATAAAAATAAAGTATTAAAAATGAAAAAATAGAAAATGAGTGTGAATATACCTTGAAATGATGTTAATGTAGTCGCGTGATTTTCCTCTTCTTTGACTTATATGCTTCTCCAAATTCCCACCCAGACATAACAATGGAGCTCGTGTTTTTGAGTTTAAGTTTGAGTTGAGATGTAAAGTAACTTGTGGGAGTCTTTTGGAGTATGAGTATATAAAGAAGCTTCTGATGATTTTTATCCCGCCAAATTAGAGGTGATCAACATTGATCAGGCTCGCTAGCCCGGTCGGATCCGGCCCGAAAATAGGGCGGCTTTGGACAAGTATGAAAAAATTAAAAATACATTTTTAGTTAAAAACCCGAACCTAGTCCGAAAAAAGCCCAAAAAGCTCGCTTTGGCCTGATAAGCCCGCTACTTTTTTGTGGGTTTGGGCACGAGAAATTACGTTAAGGCTCGGTCCGACCCGATTTTTGATCACCTCTACACCAAATGAACAATCAACTTGGGGAAATGCAATGTAAAATGACAATTTTTATTAATGTAGCTATTGATTCAATTTGATTGCGCCGCGTGTCAACCCGATCCCTAAACTATTTTCAACATCATTATATTTGCCAACTTACCCTAAACTATTCTATTTATCTAATATATAAAGTGAAGAGAGATTTTGGGTGATAAATGTCAATTTGCCAAATTACTCCTTACCTTTTTTTTTTTTTTTTTTTTTTTTTTAAAGAACAACCATCCTAAATTGAAAAAAAAGTACCATCCGAATCTAACTTTTAGGATAAAATACAATTATACAAGTACTTATCAACCGTTTTTTTTTAATTATTCAATTAAAGAAAATACTCTATGACTTCATCAGATGTTTTTATTTTTTAAAACAATTTTTATTTTATAATTTTTTTACTAATATTTATTTTTATTATCAACAATTTTAAAATTTGCATCACTAATATTTATTGTATTCTATTAGAATAAAGAAGAGAATGAGCCTAATAAGTTTCTCAAATTGCGCACACACACGCAATCTTAGCTTATTCAATTAAATCGGACAAGTCCTTAAACTATTTCTAGAATATATATTATTTAAAGGTCCCTAAACCCATTGCCACATCAACGGTTATGGGCTGGAAATTGCTTTTCCTGGTGGGTTAATGGACCAATTTGCCTCATTTAAAAGGTGAGGGATTAAAATGCTACAAATGCAATGGTTTAGACTTTAGAGATTGTATTTGTACTTAACTCGTACGTTTCTTTTTTTTAATTTTCTTATTTTGGTTGGTAAGGAGAAGACCCCTATTGGGCTGAAACCTCTCACGGGTCCGCCCGGCATGGGTTAGCGTGTTAGGTACTCATACATACTTCATATGTCATATAGATATACAAAGTATTGTACTACCTCCGCCCACGAATATCTGTAACATTTGCCAAATTTGGATGCTTGGAGTATCTGCACCAAATTTTTTTCTTTCATTTTTTGGTAATATTTAACTATTAATTACCCACTATTACTCACTTTTTGGTTAGTGGTCCTCTCCACCACCTATTACCCACTACAAATATTGTGTTCACACTACAAATATTTGTGTTCACACTACAAATACCAAATATACCCTTATTTTTCAACACTTAAATGTTTAGTTTATATATATCATCATATGGGTAATTTTGTATTTTTACTTTTCTCTCTCATTAATTAAACCCACCCAACTACACTTAATATTCCCTAAAAGTTTTACCTAGGAGTCCACCCATTTGTACTTTGTTGCAGATATTCGTGGGCGGAGGGAGTATAATATATGTAGTATGGTATAAAATACAGTCCAATGGAGATTGGACAGATAATAATATACGTAGTAGCGTAGTACAGCATAGTAGTAATAAAATATAAAAAGAAAAATAAGTGAAAAAACAAAAGTTGCAGAACCCTAGATTTTGCTATAAACGGACAGATAAAGTGTACTTGGGGTTTTTTTTTTCTTTTGACTTTGAGTTGAGTTCCAAATTTCAGATCTAGAAGTGAAAAGATTTTTGTTGGGATGGCATTTGCTGTAACAGATGTGTATGAGGAATCTCTCAAAGCTCTGCCTTCTCTCTCTCCTTGTAAATACCCACCAAACACAAACCCCGGCTCACCGACGAAAGCGCCGGCGATGACGGAGTTTCAAGGCCCTCCCATAGACCTCCGCCGGCGATTTTGTTCTCTCTTTCTCTCTCCTTTGACGGTGACCAACCAACAACCATCGCCGGTATGCATGCTGGATGATCGGAGATTCTCTGCATGTTGGATGATCGGAGATTCTCTGCCTTGCCTTGCCTTGCCTTTTGTTCCACCCAACTGGTATCTATGGTCCTGGATGCCTAATCACTGAAAGTTAATTTTACTCTTACAGTATATTTGTTCTCTACGTTCTTCTATCTAATGATTCTAAATGAACTTTGATTAATCGTAACTGATCTGTAGAAGAAAATTTTGTAGTTTGTTCTGGAATATATTTTTTTTCTTTGATGATATATTTCTGGAGTTTTTTCTGTAGAAGTGAACTTTAATTTCCTTCTCAACTAGAATTTGGATAAAATTTAGAAAGAATGAGTAGATAAACATTGTTTAATTATGAGTAGTTGTTTTCAATTGTGCTCATTCTTTGCTCTGCTCTTCTGCTCATCTTCTGTCATCCTTGGCTTAACTGAAAATTCTTTTGGTGGTGCTTAATTCTTACATTATAACATGTAAGCCATTTGTCCCTGTTTTGCTGCATAAATTTCATCATTATGATTTTTTGGCATGTTGAGAATGGTGGTAAATCTGTCATGACTCAAGTTTCTGAAATGAGTTCAAGATCTTGTCAATTCACCTGAAAATGGCTTTATCAAGCCACCAGCAAATAGAGTGATATCAAATTAGGTACAATTATGTCCTTCCTGGTGTATACTTCTCAGTTCTCAATGCTAAAAATTTCATCGTATGGCTTTTGAAAAGCATATGGATCAATCAGAACTTTGTTTTGTTACTGCTTTCTTGACTACAATATACTTTCAACCTTATTAATTTGTTTGAATGAGTAGGGAGATTGAGCAAATACATGTGCAGGAAGAAATCGACCTACTGGTAATCTCCCCCCCCCCCCCCCTTTTTTTTGTTGGTTTATTATATGCTCGTAATTTTATTCTTCTTCCAGCAATGTTTGTTCCTGTCTTTTGATCAAGAGCGCTGCTGGAGTGCTGGTTTATTGCTGTGAATAGTGTCGCGATTCATAGATTGTTTTCAGTTCTATCTATGTAATTATAATTTAAATTTTGATGAAAATTGTGTTGGTAAATTGTTTTGCTGTGTTGGTAAATTGTTTATATATTGCTGTGAATAATTGGTTATTTGTTGAAGATAATGTTCACATATTGCCTATGATTCTCGGACTCGGGTACCCATGGCCGACACGGTTACGTGTCCAAGTGTCCGACTCAACCATTTTGTGAAAATTTTCCAAGATTTCTTGTTTAATTTAAACTAACACATTCGAAAATGATCCTAGGATTAGTTATGACTCATTTGAGGCTCAGTTCTCAGTTTCCATTGGAGCTCATTGATTTAATGGTTTTGAATGGGTATATTTATGAACATAAACTCTGTTTAAGAGCTTTTCATGAAGTTTGATGAATATATCTATTTTACTTGACTTGAATATTTGGTTTTTGAAATTGGGTCATCTCTCTCTTCTTCCCAAATGGTTTCATATTAAGCTATATGATAATGCACCTGATTGATAGTTTATGCTTATGAGTTACAGATGAGTAGATAGCAATTCACATACACTTCTAATACTTCCATGCATTGACTACCATTTTCTTTGAGCCTTACTAAGTTACTACTTTATTTTATCTTCTTTTCTATTTGCAGGCTTACCTCTACATATGTTAAGCCACCATTCCCAATTTGATTGCGCCGCGTGTCAACCCGATCCCTAAACTATTTTCAACATCATTACATTTGCCAACTTACCCTAAACTATTCTATTTATCTAATATATAAAGTGAAGAGAGATTTTGGGTGATAAATGTCAATTTGCCAGATTACTCCTTCTTACCTTTTTTTTTTTTTTTTTTTTTTTTTTTTTTTTTTTTTTTTTTTTTTTTTTTTTAAGAACAACCATCCTAAATTGAAAAAAAAAGTACCATCCGAATCTAACTTTTAGGATAAAATACAATTATACAAGTACTTATCAACCGTTTTTTTTTTAATTATTCAATTAAAGAAAATACTCTATGACTTCATCAGATGTTTTTATTTTTTAAACCAATTTTTATTTTATAATTTTTTTACTTATATTTATTTTTATTATCAACAATTTTAAAATTTGCATCACTAATATTTATTGTATTCTATTAGAATAAAGAAGAGAATGAGCCTAATAAGTTTCTTAAATTGCGCACACACACGCAATCTTAGCTTATTCAATTAAATCGGACAAGTCCTTAAAACTATTTCTAGAATATATGTAAATTATATGACAAATAATATTTAAAGGTCCCTAAACCTATTGCCACATCAACAGTTATTGGCTGGAAATTGCTTTCCCTGGTGGTTAATGGACCAATTTGCCTCATTTAAAAGGTGAGAGATTAAATGCAATGGTTTAAACTTTAGAGATTGTATTTGTACTTAACTCGTACATTTTTTTTTTTTTTTAATTTTTCTTATTTTATTTTAGCTTCTTTTCTATTTGCAGGCTTACCTCTACATATGTTAAGCCACCATTCCCTTCAGATTGTGGTGCTTGTCGTGTCAGTGTTATGGTTGGAGTGCAGCATAACAAGTAAGAGGAGAATTGTGTGTAGCTAGCTGATTGTTGCGATTTTGGGTGTTTGAGGGAAGTAGGAGTTTGGGCGGCTGATTGGCTGCTGCGCGGTGGCTCGGTTGGGAGTAGGGGCAGCAACGGGGAAGCGTGGTAAGTTACCAAATGCGAGCTTGAGGATGAATTTCGAGTTTATGGTGTTCTTTGCAAGTTCAGGTTTTTTTTCCAATTATGAAGTTATAAAATCAATTTTGGTGGTAGAAATGTTAGTTCCATGGTTCATTGCTAGATTTTGGCAAGAGTAATTTTCTTGTGCATATTTTTCTATGTGATTTGATATTTTACAAATTTAGATAGTAGATTTTAGATACGAACTACACTTTTATCTTTTCTATATATTTTACAGTTTTTTTTTTTTTTTTTTTTTTTTTTGGTATTATGAATCATAATTTTTTTTACATCTTTAATTATTTTTCAATACCTTCTAAAATAGAGAACTTAGGTGTATATAAAGAATGTCTCTTCAATATATTTCTTGATTATTTATGTTGGCGGGGGTAATTTTCTTGTCTACTTTGTTTTTTTTGTGCATATTTTTTTCGATGTGATTTGATATTTCACAAAAATTTAGATAGTAGATATTAGATTCGAAGGACTCTGTATCTTTTTTTTTGAGTATTATGAATCATAATTTTATTTTTCTTTTTCATCTCTAATTGCTTTTCAATACCTTCTGAAATAGAGAACTGATGTTTATATAAAGAATGATTCTTCTATATATTTCTTGACTGTTGCAGGTAATTTTTTTTATTCTCTTCAGGATATTCATGAAAGCATATATTTTCTCAACTAGAAGGAACAAGGTTCTCAACTTAGCTTGCTAGCAAAGGATTTTGGGTCATTTTGATTGTTTTTCAAGCGAGTTCCTGATCGATGGAAGTACACTCAGCCTTGTAGTTTCTGATGAACAGAAAAATGTTCAGGTCTTTGAACATTATGGCTGGAATGGAAATAGAGACAGAAGTGGAACACTGGAAGAATGTAGCAGTGCCAGACTGACTTGATGGGGAATAATAATGAGATGGTAAACCTGTATGGATTACTTATGGTATGAGATGCTTTCTAATTAATTTTCGTTATTTTTGATGACTTTTTATTTAGCCATGAGGATTAAAGTAACTGGCGTTCTGCTTCAGACATTTCTTGACTCAATTTTTCTTTGAAATGGATTCCTTAGTTTGGTTGCTTAAGAGCTGCCTTATGTGTTGAACTCATTCTAACTGTTGATCTTGTATCTTGATCTCATCTCTCTTTGCTGCCTTGACTCTTTTATATTCTGTCTTCCCCTGATGATGCATGTAAAGAGTAGCTTCACATGAAACATTTGCTTCACCATTTGATTTCAGTTATGCCATCTCTCTGAAGTTCTCAACTTTTGCCATCATTTGATTCACCATTTGATTGCAGTTATTTATGCTTGTTTGTGACTTCATGTTAAAAGACAGAAATAATGACTTGAGGTCAAGTATTGTGATTATTAATGGAAGATGAAACTCAACAAACTATAGAGGTGCTAGTGGTGGAAGTCAAGGATAAGCTTGCTAGTGTTACGGAGCCAATTGAGGTAGATTTGTGTTAAATATAGCTTATAAGTATCTGCAATATCATTTTTTTAATTTTTTATTTTATATAGCTAAAACTTGAATTTGTTTGGCAACAGGAAAATGGTAATAAAGAAGAAAAAGAAAGCTCTCTGGATGATGGAGAGTTCATTAAGGTCGAGAGAGAACCTGTGGAAATGAAAGATAGGTTTCGAGATGTTGAAGTAAATGTGGAAGAAAGCAAATCATCTGTTAGTGAATCTAGCAGAAAAGTCCTTGAAGCACTGGAGTAGATAAACGAGCTTGAGACTGAATTAGAAAGAGTGGCTGCTGCATTAAACGATTCTGAGTCACAGAATGCAAATTTGAAAAATGAGGCCTTATCGACTGAAGTAAAGCTGCAAGAATGTGGGAAGAAGTATGAAACTCTTGAACCGAATCACAAGAAGTTGCAGGAGGAGATGGTAGAGACTGAAAATAACTTCAATGAAAAGCCGAAGTCTTTGCAAGATACTTTGGAAGATCATGAAAACTAATCAAAAGGATTTTTCTGTGTTAAAGAATCATTTGAAAGTCTTAATCTTGAGTCCAAAATCTCAAAGAAGAAAATAGAGGAGTTGGAGCAAGAATTACCTTCTCGTGCAGCAGAATTAGAAAATGTAGTAAAATCTTCTCACTCCATAATTGAGGTTGCTGAGAAAAAACATGGGTGACCTTGAATCGCTGCTGGAAGAAAAGAAACAGAAAATTGAAGAGCTTTGAAGTGAATATAAGCTCACTGGGAGTAAAAAATGCGGGGATCCCGAAGCTGAATCAAAAAAATATTCAGGCATGGTATCTGAACTCACTGGAAAAATCGAGAAGTTCCGATCTTTAATGTTGAACCTTGAGAGTGCACTTCAAACAGCAAGTGAAAAGGAAGTGGGGCTGATGGAATCTTTGAATGTAATGAAAGTAGAGAAACGAAGTTCAGAAGAAGCATTGGAGAATTCCACTAAAAAGCTTCGGGAAGCTGAAAATTTGCTTGAATCATTGTGTGGTGAATTGTCTCTTACACAGGAGAAACTAGAAAGCATTGAAAATGATCTAAAGGGCTCTGGACTAAGGGTGTGTGTAATTATGGAAAAGCTGAAAGCTGCTGAGGATCAATTAGAGGAGCAAGTGAGAGCAATAGAGGAAGCAACTGCAAGTAAAATGCATTTTGAATCTTTACACGAGTCTTCTACTAGGGACTTTGAGGTAAAAATGCAGGAGACAATGGCAAATTTCAGCGAAAAGGAGTCTGAGGCTAACTCATTGTCTGAGAAATTTAAGATTCTTGAAGATAAGGTACAAAGTTTAGAAGAACAGGTCGGTGAAGAAGCACTGAAGGCTGCATCTCTAACAGAAGAATTGCATCAGAGTGTTGCTAAGGTAGATTCCTTAGAAAGCTCTAATGAAGAGCTTAAAAAGATGATTGAGGAAGCTGAGGGTAAAGTGGCACAATCTCTTTCAGAGAAGGAACTTTTGGTGGAAAAAAACTCCCAGACGAAGAACAAGGTTGATGAGCTTCTGGAATTGCTTAATTCGGCTGATGCAGAAAAAGAAGCCACTTCTCTTCAACTTGCCTCTCACATGAATACCATCACTGAATTAACTGAGCAACACTTGAGATCTTTTGAGCAGCACTCTGCTGCTGAAGCTCGTCATTTGCAGGCTGAAGAACAGTTGAAGGAAACAAGTGGTAGACTAGCTGAGAAAGAGAAGGAAGTCGAGGAGTTGGGTGCACGGTTGAGTGCCCTTGAAAACCAAGTGAAAGCATATGAGGAGGAGGTTCGTGAAGCATCTGTGATAACCGGGTCTAGAGAGGCGGAGATAGAACAGTTAAAGGAGACTGTTGCTAAATTAGCTGATAAAGAGGCTGAAATTCAGTGAAATACTTGTAGCTCTTGAAGGCCAAGTGAAAAAGTATGAAGAGAAGGCTCATGAAGCAGAGGGAATTGCTGAATCAAATGAAGTTGAAATTAGAGAGATGGTTGAAAAATTATCTCAGACAGATTGAAGTTACAGAATTGAAGGAGAAACTTGCTTCCTTGAAGGCCAAGTAAAAGGTTTATACAGAAGAAGCCGGTCAAATATCTGGGATCGCTGAATCTAGAAATGTTTCAAATTGAAGACCTGGTTGGGAAATTAAGTAAAAAGGAGTTTGAAGTATCGGGGCTAATGAACTCATAAATCCTAATGGTATGTCATATCCTCTTTTGGTTGTTTATGCATCATAAAGTTATGAAACTGATTGAGATGTTCTCTGTATTTAAGTATAGGACCATTATACTACAAGTGTGTTTATCATCTGTTCTATCAGTATAATCCTTACTCAGCTATATGGGGGGAATATGACTTGGGTTCATTCAATCTCACATGATCTTGTCAACTAGATTCACATTGAACACGCCCTTAACCCAACCGAGCCTTATGAATTGGGTTGCTGCTACTCCAGGTCTGTCACCATGCTCCCTGGAGGAAAACCTGTCATTTTCTATACTGGTGCAGACACTTAGAATTTTCAGTCACAGAATTTGGCATTCCCTAAGGACCCCGCTGATCCCCATCTAACCTAAAAGGTTAAGTCGCCTCATAATCCTGTAATTGCTGAAACAGATGGTGACATTGATTCTAGCAATTTCAGAGATCCTACAACTGCTTGGCAAGCTGCTGATGGTGCTTGGCACGTTCTTATAGGCGGAAAGGTAGATGGCTGAGAAATGGCATTTTTGTGCCAGAGTAAAGATTTTGCTAATTGGACTAGAAGTGAAGTCTCTTCACTTATCAGCAAAAACCGGAAAGTGGGAGTGTCCAGATTTCTTTCTTGTGAGCATTGATAATAAAGATGGAGCAGAGAACTATTTTATGAAGGAAAACACCAAATTTGTTCTTAAGGCAAGTTTTCTTGATCGTGGGCTTTTATAAGGCCGTAACAAATGAATTTGAGGTGGACAATACTGACTTCATGGAAGGTATTACTGATTGGAGATATGATTATGGAAGTAAATATTATGCTTCCAAGACATTTTTCGATGGTGAGAAAAAACGGCAAACGTTGTGGGTGCGGATATTGGAGGCTGATGGTAAAGCAAATGACAAGAAAAAAAGGGTGGTCAGGGCTTCAGGTAATATTCCAATTAAGGTCTTCTTGTTGTGGACTTATTTAATTATTGGTTTGAATATGAGCTTCAGTACTCTGTATTATTAATATCATGACATGCCTACTAGTCTCATTTCGATCTAGCAGTGTCAGCATGTAGACGCAACCTGTCGTAGTGTTGTTGCATCACCACAACAACAAAAAAAAAAAAAAAAAAAAAAAAAAAAAAAGATGCAACCTGTCTGAAACATTTGAATGCATAACCCTTTGCCTTTACTATCTGGTACCATTTCAATGTTAGTGGACAGGGCTTTGTCTTATTTTATAGGGTTTTTAGAGCCCAATAATTTAAGAATCAAAAGAAAAACCCAATAATAATGGTTAAGGTCAGCCCCACTCACCCCTTCTCTGACTTAACCCCAGTAACAATTTCCAGAAACCTTTCTCTCTCTCCTCCATTGCTGCGCACTCAGAGTTCTCAGCTTTCAGGGTATCATCATTTTCTCTCTCTTAATCTGTTCTTCAATTTTGATTCATTTTGATTGTTTTCGTTTTGTTAAAGTTTGTTAATGTTTGATCGTCGGCATTTGCTTTTTTGTTGCGCATTTTTGGCTCAAATTGTGATAATTTTAATAAGATTGATTAAGAGGAATTATTTCTGTATAATTGATTAGTGTGACTGTTTTTGAGAGAAATCTCTTCATCATCTAGGTTTATTATGTATGTCATTTATGTGGAATGTAGATGTTGCAAAGGGTTTAGGTTATATAGGTTGATATAATTATAAAATTTTTAATGGACTCACTAATCTCTGTAAGTACACATTTCAGTCCTTTAAATCATGTTCCTGAGGCAGAGTATTCGATAATTTTGCCATTCGATTAGGTTTGTATTTTTGTCATTGTGAAGCATGATGTATTGTGATGTGGATTAAGCATGATCATTTTGGTGATTTTGATGTTTAAATTTGTTAATATATCTGATTTTATATGAACATTGTCAGTGAATTCAGAGCATATGATCAATTTGAAAGAATTTTGTTAACCTATGTAAATTTCTATGATAAGAGCATTCTCACTAGCAACTGGTATGCACAGGAACTGATAGCAGAAAGTAGAAGTTAATGGCTTTCACTTTTACCTCGACCTGGACCCTGACCCACATTGACCCTGACCGACCGCCCTAATGGTACCAGCACTGACCCCCCAATAACCACCCTAGTTGAGAGGTATGGGTATGGATATGGGAAGCTGTTGAAAATTAAAGGGAGGAAGAAAGTTATGTTTTAATAATTTTAAATTATTGAATTGGAAATTTGAGCTGTAAGGTGTTTTTTCCATCCGATGCCTTAATTAATTTGGTTTTTGTAGTTTTTATATCTTTAAAAGCTTTCACCGGAGGTCACATTAGTGTTGTTGGCACGCTAATCATTCTCATGGTCGAATAACTTGCACTACATTAATAATGTGGTGACACTAAACTTCTTTATTAATTGTGAGTTATAGTTCTTATTTGCTTGTGTGATATTTCTGCATTGGTGAATTTTACATTGTTTTGGAATGTATTTCAGTTTGTGTTGTGCCTCAAGTTAATGCCAGCACCTTCTGTTATCTTGAGTTCTAGTAATTCACTCCATGAAGCTTTTGAACCTAATTTTGATTTGTTTTATCTACTTAAACTGACTGTTGCTTATTTTGTCGAGTTTTCTCTAGCCTTTAAACTGTGCACGAACTAAACTAAAAACTTTGAATAAGAATACACGATTTTAATTCCAATAGTACCATTTATGATGTTAGATTTATATGTAAGAAAATAAATTACTAAAGGAACATGTCTTCGGATTGTATTTTAATTTTGCTTGTCACTGTCACAACATGGTTTCTTTTTGGCAGGCAGTCTATTTGAGAGTCAAGATACTTGCTAGACTAATTTTATTTTCTCTTTATCATTTTTCGTTTTGTGTAACAGAGTGAATTTGAACAAATGGGGCGAAAAAAGAAGAGGAGAAACGAGTAAAAGTGTTCAGAAAGTTTTAGAGAAGAGGATTTTCATCCAAATCAAGTTTCCGATAAAGATAAGTTCTTTTTAGATCTTGAGCATTCTAATGCTCCTTGGAAATGATTGAGATGATTGTCTTCTAGGTTTTGTATCGGTTATATGGGTCATAAGTGTAATGTAAGAAAGATATGCCCCAATTGAAATGTGGAGAATCAATTGATTATAAAGAAGGGTGTTTTTTCATAGTGACCTATGTTCAGAGAGAACTTTTTAGTTGATATTTTGGTACACAAACCTTCAATTTATATGTTGGCTGTAGGGGTTGGGGGAAATTGGTGGAAAGTAAAGATTTTGAGGATTTTTGGTTTTCGATTTACGAGTGCAAAAATGCTTTATTTTAAAAGTAACTATGACCCACTTCCTGTTGAGTTTAGTGCTAGTTTGGTTCATGAATGTATCATTAGAATATTCAATGGAGCTAAAACTGAGATGGAGGGTACAGAAAAGTATTACAAACTACTCTGTGTTGTGATTTCTGAGAGTATTAGGTTTAATGAGATTCTGAAAGTAATGTATAAGGTATTACAAAATGTGGAAAAGTCTTATAAACTTAATGACCTTCAACGTGG